CACGACGGCCACCGTTGGAAGTGGCCGCGTCTCACGCGAGAGAATTGGTACGGCTAATGTCACACGCTGGTCTGGGGGCATGCGGCTTCGCGGTCGTAGACAATATCATTCAATATTGACGGTGCCTACCCCTGCTGCCACGTCTGCTTCTTCTGCCGGCTCGAGTTTGGTTAGTAACTCTCTTACACGTAAATTACGCATCGATTAGAAGAAGCTGGGGATAGTTGATACACGTTACTATCGCACACATTATAGAAATCGCCCTGTAACATAACCGCGATTTATAGTCGTAGTTCTGTATCAACGAGGAGAAAGTGAACGAGAGAGAGAGAAAGAGAGAGAGAAGGATTGTCCTACGTTGTACGTTTCTAAATTAAGCCACTACCTTTGTGATAAGAAGAGGATTATACATCCCGTGGTCCGTTCAAACGATCACGATTTTATTGATTTTGTTCACTTTTGCCGATAATAAATTGTCCGTTCTCTGTGGATTGAATAAAGCATTTTGATTTTTGTTCACTGCTCCGCCATTCGAGAAATCGGCTCTTTTCATTTGTTCTCGTTCTTTGTTCTCCCAATGCAACTGTAATTCCCTATCTTTTTCTTGCAATGAATAGCTATTACTATAATTTAGATGCTGTGGTTAAAACAACGATGAATTATCGACGTTGTCCTCTGTTGGATGAATTTATGCGAATGAGAGAGTATGTTTCGCTTCTTGGATTTTTGTAAAAGAGTTTCTGGACGACAATAACGAAGTTATATTTACGTTGTTGTAATTGAGATATTGTTATTATTAAATATGCAGAAAGCTAGTCACCATTGTAAATCGTGCAATTTTTACCGAGGGTGATGCTTTTTCGAGATTTGTCAAGTTGATATGTATCAATTATCCCCGGACTTTCGACAGGAATGTTTCCGCATCTTTGTACATTTTTACTTCCGATGTAGATAGCGACTCGTTTAACCATTCACATAATTTATGACCATTTTACACATGTATCTTGTAAAGAGAACGGGATAGTGTATGGCTCTTTAGTTGACATCATTTTTGTAAACTAGCTTTAACATCATTTTCATGTAACTGGTACATACACATATATTTGACTTTATATATTTTTCTAAAATTATAGGAGGTTTTAAAATACAACAACGTCTCATTGAATCACTCTTTAACACCCATACAGGAATCGTTTTGTTTTCTCATGCGTTAAGAAAGACGAAATTATATATATTTTCTCTTGTTTTTCTCACTTGATTTCATAAATGGTGCTGTAATTAGAGATTAAGATAATACAGGTATTGTGAATTCGAATTCTTTGTATCTCTGTTCCTGCGGTAATAATGGAATACATACAATTTTGTGAGTTTAAGTGCTTTACGAATTTGTTTCTTGATGTAATTGTACCAACAAGTGTTCTTATTGCGAGAAACTATTTTCAAATTCTAGGAAAAGAAAGTTATTGCAATATTCAATATTAACGAATAGATTCTAGTGTTATGTTTGCGCATATTTTCGAAATTATACATTTTTAATAGCTTTTCTGATTTTTCATTGTGGTCAAGCTGAAATGTTAATTAAGTATACATGGAAAAAGTTATGAATTCTTTTCCAAAATTTTATATTACATTATATTACATTATACTATATTATATTATATTATATTATGTTATGTTATGTTATATTATATTATATTATATTATATTATATTATATTATATTATACTATATTATATTATATTATATTATATCATATTATATTATATTATATATTATTGTATCATTTTTTATTTTAATTTTCACAATACTCATTGTATAAAAGATAGCTTGAAATATACATTAGCGATTTAGTTTTAAGTTCAATTAATTTTTTAATGTTTTAGCAGCCATTTATTTATCGGCATTATGACTTTTTCGAACATATATGAGAACTTATGGTATGTAAAGTAAATAGATAAACGCAGCTCGACAAATTTATTTTATAAAAATTAATAATTAATTAAAATAATATACGATCCTCGTTGGAAAAGATTTTTAAAAACTCTGATTTTGCTTTTTTATTATGTCAGGATTTGTGGTCATCCTAAAAACGATATAGTAATCTCTGTATAAAAGAAGCAAAATCGTTATTGTATATCTACGTCATCAATTAAATTTACTTTGGTCAAGCTTTAATTAGAAACAAAAATGCAACAATGAAAATACTATTGTAAATATATTGTTGTAAATTGTTTCGACCAGAAGCTATACAAAACTTTGTACAATTTTATAATGTGAAACTTGACACGTGTGAGATATAATTAAAATCCATGAATTTCACTTTTGGTGCGCAATATTTAAATCGCGTTGAATCAAATGTGCTCATGCGCATCTGCCAAAAGCATAAGTATTAATAAAACGAAAACTTTTTTAATAAAACCTATATATTTTAAATATTCAGTAGACAAATGGAGATTTTGAAAATCAACGACTGTATAATCATCGGTGGACTCAATTTTTTGAATAATTAATTTCTTGTATAATAAAATATATCTAGGAGCAAAAAAGAAGTTGAACAATTATTATCGTTAATTATATAATACAAATGTTTCTAAATTGTGTGATTCCTTTTTTTCTTTCATTATAATGATCATGAATATATATAGAAAAATTAAATGTTATAAAGTATATTAAGTACCTATATGAATGTACGTATGTATGAAGATGAGAATTTTTAAGGATGAATGAAAGCTTTAAACTATTATTAATATAACAATAATACTTTATTGTCAATATTTATATTAATCATAAAGATTTTTAAAAATATTTTTCATAAAATTCACTTCTGCCTTCATAAACATCTCCTGTGCCTGTGTCATGATTTATATCCAAAATTCTGGAAGCTGATTATAAAAAAGTCAGTCATCTGTTTGATCGTTTCATTTATATAGAAAGTACATTGTTAAACTGTTACTATTATTTCATCCGTTAAAGAATAATTTTAAAAATAACTCTATTTTTTATATTTTACATATTTTTGCGTATTATCTACGCTCTATGCATTTTTGCTCCTTTAAATTTGCACGTTATAAGCACGTAAAAATCTACAGTCTAGTTATGACTTGCTAATCAATTTCTGAAATCATAAAATTCCTTACATCTCTCTATATCATTAGTCAAATTATAAGAAAACAGGCACAAAAGTCCAAAAGAAGTCAGTCATGTTGAAAGAATCGAATGTAATTGGAAATCGTGTCAGAAACGTGTGCTGATATAGCGATCCTGTTTGTTCTAGGATATGGAGACGGAACGTGGAGCAGATAATATTTTTGCAGCAACAACTTCGCGACATCGCGTGCCTCTTCAGCTAGAGTCCGGCAGTTGGCTCTCTGGCTCGATCTCACACAGCTACACCTGACACACAATCGTCTAACATAATATACACGCTCGAGACCCACCAAAAGTAAACAATGTTACATGGCAACGTGGATGAGAACGAAGATGATTGCTAAATGATCGTTATTCGAAGAACGATGAACATTGATTGAAGTTTTCCAGAGTCCAAACAAGAAAACTGCTTTAACGAAATGAACTGCTTTAACGAAAAAGAAGAAGAAAAAGGAGAAGAAGAAGGGAAACGATCTTAACGACCACGAACGGACGTGTAGAGAGGAAATAGTTAGAATTAACAGTCAAACTTAAGGCAAACGAAGTTCCGAGGACGTAGATGGCGCTGGTGATGTAAGAAACATGAGGGAACATAAATACGATATTGAGGCTGGAAATGAGTTCGTTTTCGCTATAATAAAGTGATTTTGGACATGGAAGAGATTGATGATCGAAGACGGTGAACAAGCTTGAGGCGGAGGATGACGTGTAAACACCTGCCAAGACGACCCTTTTCTCGTTTCCTCTTTCTAGCCCTGTAACTTACCATCATCTTGAGATTGTTCCCTCGTTCCCATAACAGATCGAGTCGTTTTCCGCAATGGGACGTACTTTCGTATTTTCGTGTAATTTATCATCAACAGACGATGAATAACTCTCTTCAGGTGGGTTTCTAACATCATTCATCCGCCCTTCCTTTCAATTAATATTTTCCTCTAAGTTTCTTGTTTAACCTCACATTCGTTGCTCCTATTTTACGTGATAAAATTTCAATTCATATTTCACGAAATTCGCAGCTCATTCTCTGCTGTTTCGATCTCGTCAATTATAGATGTTTGGCTAAAAGTAGCGACTGAAATTTTTGTTCCATTCAATGTTCAGAATTATTGTAGCACTTTTAAACGAATTTTATTTTGTTCAATTTTTTAGTGCACTGCCTCCTTGTACATTCTGTTAACTTTTTTTACGTTTGCTTCTTTTTGCGATTAAAATCTCTGACACATGATTCGTCGCATGATAGCTGACAACCAGTCAGCATCGCCCTTTTATTGAGAAATTGAACGAGAAAAGATATCTCGTCGATACAACTACGATTAATTAATCCCTCGTCGATTATTTTGATAGCCTTTCTAATCGTATGGTCAACGAGTCGATTTTTGTATCAATTGTTAGCTCTTAGTGAAACAAAAAAGAAGGAAAACATAAAACTCAAAAGGATAATATATAAATAAATAGGAATATTCTCCTCTTATAATTATCGTAAATTAAGGTTAGAAATAACGCGAGAATCGCGTTCTCTGTTCGACGATCGTTCTATTTCCACCTGATTTTCACAGCAAACGACGGAATTAAAGGAAGGATAAAGCAATAATCCTTGACTTTTAACTATTTTCTTTCCTCTATTTTTTGGTATTAGTTTCTCCCTTTTTTTTCTTTTTGTAGGTCGTCTTGTAAATTTTTATTATTGTCTAATGTTAGAAAATCGATTTAATGACCGTTAAGTATCTTCGTTTCAATTTTATTCGCCCTACGTTGTAATTAAGGAATACATTGTGCGATTACGAGAGAAAATTTGTAAAAAAGGAAACCAAAGAAAAAATAGACAAAAAAAATGACAAAGAGTGTGTCGAACTTGAGCGACGAAATTAACTAAAAAAACAAATGGGAAATTATACGAACCTGAATGATTGTAAGTGGTCGAAGATTATTGGAGTTATATAGTGAAAATTAATAAAAGTTATATAATTAAACAGAACGTTGTAAAATATGCGGTGTTTTATATTTCTATCTTTTTCTCTCTAATGATTCATTTGTTTAAAATTTTTCTTTCTGTAAATTTTAATTAACTACTTATAAATGTTTGTAAAAAAATTCGAATGTTTCGATTAGACACAACCTGTGGTTTTAAATTAAGCGGGTGGAAAATTGAAAATTTTTATACTCGGCATTAACGTTGAAGTTTAGTAAATTAAAATAGCGATCCTCTCGATTGTATAAGTTTCATTAAATCAATTAGTAAATTGATTAGTATAATTATAGAAATGAGATTTTATATTAAAAATTGTATAGAATTTGTTAGTTCGAATTTTTCTAACCAAAACTAATCGCCTCATCGAAATCAGAATTTCTTTATAGTTGCGGAAGAAGGTAAAGAAATAATTAAAAAGATAACTATTATGCGAATGTAAAGAAGATTTTCGGCCATGGAACGAGGGAACGATTGTAACAGTTTATAACAAAAGAGTAATAGGAGGCGAAGTAAGAAGGTTGCGACGAAAACTGAATACACAACTGTATAAGTAACAACAATAATAATGACGATGACGAAGTTGCAAAAGAATTACTCAATTAATTAAAAAAACAAAAAGAAGGAGCATACATACATATATATATATATATATATATATATATATATACACATACACACACAAACACACGTATGTATTTATATGTATGTATGAAACAATCTTGTATTCTACGATAAGTAATTGTTTTTTATATGCGACATAGTATATTATATTATATAATACGCGATACGTATATATACATGTGTATGTATTCGTACATGCAAAAGGTATATAAACATGTATATGTGTGTAAATGAAACAAAAAGAAGAAAAAAAAAAACGAAAGAATTAATATCGTATGAACTAATAGTGTACGTGTGAGATTTCAAGGAAAAAATGTTTATTAATTCATTTTGTATGTGTGTGTATATGTATAGGGCACACATACATATCTCTGTATGTATCTCTGTATTCGTGTCGTTCTAGATACATATACGCAAGCATAGCAACTGTTTGAAATTTGAATTCATAAGGACGAGTGGATTCGAGTGCGTGCGAAAGAGAGGCTGAGATTAGTTAAAACAAATAAGAGAGAAAGAGCGAATGCTTTGAGCGAATTCGTCGATTCCGTATGACCGATGGAAGAGGAAAAAAATACAATTTGACGACTTTTAGTGTTAAACGTTTTCTGTACTATAGGTAGAGAGCCATAAGTATCTTGCGAATAATACAGTATGATTTGGAGACATTGTTCGTTGAATTCTGTTTCTGTCATTCACTGCAACAAAAACCCTGCAAACTTTTTCTCTACGTTCACTTTTCTTAAAGAGGATTGCAAGAGGTATTTTTCATATTTTTTTAGTAAGTAATGTATAAGTTACGAAATTTGTGGATTATATTAATTTATATAAGAAGTGATTTTATTATTTTATTATTTTACAATAGTATGTTTTATTAATGATTAGTTAATGTTGGTAGGGTTTTCTTTATTTCGTTAAGAATAAATTATTGACGTTGGCGTCATCTTGATTCAGTTTGACGTTCTTCAGGAATTTTAAGGTATCTGTCACATGTTCCTGTAACATTAATCCTAAGAGAGAGAGAGAGAGAGAGAGAGAGAGAGAGAGAGAGAGAGAGAGAGAGAGTGAGTATAATTTGTACTTCTGCTCTTCGGTATTGATAAAATTTCTTTATTCGTAGACTAAAGAGATGTATGGAATGGTATTTTCAATATTTAATTTTTGTCTAAATAGGTTCATTAGCATCGTCATTGGTTTCTTAATCTTTTCCATTATTACATAATTAAATAATTTATTTTATATATTTAAAGTTATTGATGATCTCTATATTATCCATAATTGATATTATCGGTTTTGTTAAGTTACCACATGTTGATCATCTTCTTTTAACTTTACCAACATATATACAAAAATTAAAGTATGTAAATTACATTTAAAAAGTTGAATTCATCACAATAAATGTCGCCCAATAGATGTATACATTCAATAATACATAATACTATTATACTTATAAATTATATGGAAAAGAGCACAACATCTAAAGAATTCATAGAACCGGAAATATGAATTGCTCCTTAAATTTATTTTGTCACGACCAAATGTTTCATAAAATATGCAAATAACAAAATGGGTACAATCAACGCTTTTAAATCTGGAAATGCTAATAAATTAGCAAAAAGCTAATAGGTCGTGTCAGATGGTTAAAAGTCATCATATTTTCGTCTTCTGGATGCCAGGGATCTTTTCGACGAGTGTCAAACGTTCATCATTAATTCTTTTTCAACATGGTCATATTTACTATTGAAACTTTATTCTTGGTTCTCATCGTTTGAGGTTCAAAATCTTTGCCATTGTGTAAGTAATACATATATATATATCTCGCAAATTTTTGTGCAAATTTATAGGTTTATAAACGTAAGTAGAGAAATAGAATCTATGTTGTCGTACAAAATTGGCTTTATCTATTAAAAATTACGAATACGTTACTTTGGGTATTTTATGTATATCTTAAATTTCGTATATTCGTATAAAAATCCACGTACAACAATAGTTTGCGAATTTGCCAAATCCGACGCATAAAAATGAAAACCTGAAAATGTCCCTTGCATAGTGGTAGGGAATCGTGGTAGGGAATCGTGGTAGGGAAAATTTCAAACGCTCGAGCGCGTTTTCGATCCCGCGGGGCATCAGTCGATTCTCGCCTCGAATCTCGATGAAAATCCCGCGCATGCGTGTTGTGTGATTTCTCCTCGCCATCCCATAGGCACGGGTGGTGGGGCCAGTCGGTGGATCGATCGACGTCCCGTCGAACCTCGCGGCCGTAAGCGCCGCTGCGCCTCTGGGCGGGGCGAGAGGGCGCTTCAGTCGTGTACTGGAGCCCACCAGGGTCGCGTCCAGCACCTCGAACGCTTCGGAGTTGCTCGTTCGCTCGGGTCTCTCTCTTTTCTCTCCATCAACCTTTCGAAAAAGAAAAAAGACACTCCTCGTGTCTTTAGGGGCTGTGTTCTGAACTAAACTTCGAAATAGACGCGTGATCCTTCAACGCATATATAAAAAGCGAGCGAGAAAGAGAGAAAGAGAGAGAAAGAGAGAGCCAAACGTGAGAGCTTAGTTAATATAGTGTTCTATCTCCGATTCGAGATATCCTTCCTTCGCTCGTATATACCCTGTAGTAGTAGTTCGAAACTCGAGGATCGTACTATTCCTGTTAGTACTATAGTTCCAGCGACGCGGATCAACCAGTGATCGTTCCAACGCGGCGCGGCTTGTATCGTCCTCGAAGACACGAGATCGTATCCGTACCAGGATATTTCTGTTTCCTTCGAATCGCTCAATTAATCCGTGGATTCAATATAGTTGTTCGTACTCGATCGTTCTCGTCGGTTTGAACATTTTATTACGTTCGACTGTTTCGGTTCTTCGAACGGAGCCGGTCGTATCGATTCGAGAGGTGATACGGGCGTACATAGATAGAGATACACGCATAGTGAGACAAGTGAGATATACATTGGAGAGGTGCGTAAAAAGGGTTTCGGAAGTATCCACGGGGAAGAGGTGTCTATGTACGCGACCGGAGACACGGAGAGCTACCCTGGTACCTAGCGGACGACGCGGGGTGGCTTCACCAGTGAGTCTCAGCTTTACGCCCTTCTTTTCGCGAGCTGATTCACCGTCACGCTTGCTTTCGACGCTTTACAATAGCATTTCGAGGTCTGTTCGCGAAAAGTGATATTTTATTGTTAATCTTGATCTCTCAGAAACCAAATTGATCGATTTCATTCTTTCTGCGGATTGTTCCGTTTTATTGCACAGATATGGGATTTAATCGCCACAGTTCATAAGAATAAATGAATTACAGTCACCATGAAGTGACCATTTTTATTTGAAAGAAGCGTATACGCTATCTACATGAATATAGGTATGGGATTAATAGTCAATTTTTAAGAATAACCGAGTCGTAGACATGCATAAGAACATCTTTATATATTATATAGAGGGCATCTCTTTTGTTTAACATTAAGTAAAATATATATAAATTTCGAGTTAGATAGAGCATATATAACAGTAGTATAACAGTAAGATATTTATTTCCTAATGTGCAAAAAAAGGAAATACTATTTTGTCATAGAATACATTGACTTTGTAGAGAAATTTTGTAACACTTTGTTTTAATGAAAATGGTCTTTATATAGGGTTTACATGGAATATCGTGGGTAACTAATAGCGACTATACCTCCATAAGTTGGTTTATTATAAGAAAGTGACATGTATGATCTTGTATATTTTCTAATTTATGGAGTTGATCAGTTTGGCGTCTGAACGACTCGCTTAGTATTAGAATTGAAGCAAAGAAATCAGAATGAAAGCTTGAAATCACTACGTGCTCCATGGAATCTAGTGGTTAAGAATGCTACATTTTTTTGCTAGGAAAGCTTTTAGAAAAATATCTATCTGAGATTATCTGAAAATTTGATATGACTGATGATGACTGAGAGAATGATTTCAGGTTTTCGACCGGTAGTGTATATATGAAAAAATATATAGGGTGTTCGATAACGTGCAGTACTAGTGAACAGGATGTGATTCCCCGTAGAAAAATAAATCAGTAATAAAGAACAAAATTTTCTAAGACGAGATGATCAAGTTTGAAAATATATCGAACATACGCGAAATTGATTTTTTGTTGAAGCCGGAGTTTTATTTTACAGAATTATATTCTTCATTCTCGATTTATTTTTGGGTGTAAAATAACCACCTACTGATTTTTTAGGCGTGAGCGTGAATCTAATATATGTATACTTGACAAATTTTTCAATTCGATTTTCTTGGAAACAAAACTATGTTAATAAATTTTATTCTTTATTTTCGATTTATTTTTGCATGCAAAATAACCTTCTACGGATTGTTTAATAGCAAATATCCTAATTTACGTGTATTCACAAGCTTTTCTTTACCGCTGATCTTCTCGAAAAACGAAGCGTAGAAATATTTTGTTCTATAATTTCGACTTATTTTTCCACATAGAATCTCCTTCTTACTATACCACAATTATCGAGACACTGTGTATAACGAGTATTTTAGTTTGAATAATTTTACATATAATATAATGTTTCTGTATTCTATGCAAATTGTACTATTCTTTATACAACACTTCTTGTACCATCCTAACCTCACTATGACTATAAACTTCAACAAATTATTTCAATCTAATTAACCGATTATTAAACAAATTTACAAAATGCACATAATATCAAATTTAATGTTTAGATAACTGCGATTTTCTAGAATAATCGTGAATTTCTTTTTTAATTCGAAAGTTGACATAGGTTATAGATAGGTTATGATTCGATATGTTTCTATATTGGGACACGATTTTATACAAAACGGTGTTGCGAAGTGATACATCAATATTATGATTTGACTATTACGTCTCGTTCAGTAAATATAATTGACGTTGCATAGATGTTACGTGTCGATCTGTTTCTGAATAGGATACGATTTTATTACGAAACGATGTCTCCAAGTGCTGGAACGTATCAGTACCGTGATTTGACTATTATGTCGAATGGGACAGTATTTTTCAATGTTCGATGTGCTGTTAAAGCGTAATTCAGCTTTTAAAGTGTAGAAAGTTTCAAGTATTTTTTACTTCAGTGTCTCGTTTTTCTTATACGGTTGGTATATCAGCTTATTCGTGCACTCGATTTTCAAACATTTTCGATATAAAATGGTTTTTAGTTAATATCGAATAATAGCGGTTCTAGTTAATATCGAATTTTACTCTATTATAAAATATTATACATATTTACACGTATATGAAATAAAGATATTATATTTTTGTTAATTTATTTCTTCATTTTGGATCGAGTTTCCTTTCTATTTGCTTTTAAAGAAGTAATGATTGTCTTAAGATGAATCTTGTGGTTAGAGTCGAATGGTAAATCTTTAAAAATGGGTAGAACACAGTGGAAATGAAAGATAGTTAATAAAAATATGAACGTAAGTTTATATATTTAGAGCGTTTCCTGTCATTATTCGCTGTCCATTATTTCCAAGCGAAACCAATTTTTCACGAACTAAACGATAAAATATTATTTTCAATATGAAGTAAAGATTTGAGTAGCGTTCATAAACGTTTTATGGCTCTTGTGTTATCTATTGTTCTCCAAAATATTACAAGCGGTATACAAGATGTTTTAATAAATGAAAGGAATAACAGAAATTTTACTATATTTCGCCATAAAATTTTCTTTTCTCTATAAATGTGTAATATTTTTTACAAAAATATAATTTTAATATATTATATAGGTATGCTTGTCTTGTAACAGGTATAAAATGTCGAGCGAAACTCGAATTCTTTTCTTTCTTATTTTACGTAAGTTTCAAGTACCTTCTGTCTCAAAATATAAAACGTTTTATCTTTCCTTAGAAGCAAATAACAGCGTACATATTAAAAATATCTTATGGAATACATGTCTATATATATAGACAAGGTGTTCCTGAAACGTCGAGTACTTTTCTTTTCTACTTGTTGCAAAGTTTTGTTTTTTGCGCAGTGAGGAACTTTTTTCCTTGAAAAGATATAATAACGTAGCATAGCTGCTTATATCTTATGCGGGCTATTTCAACAAAATTGCAAAACTTTCTTCTTATATTATCTTATCTGTTTCGCGAAAATAAATAAACATGGATTTTTTGGAAGTACGGAACATACTCTGCATTTTTCTTAAAATCTTCAAAGGAAAACATTGATTTACTTTATCGATTAGAAATGGTGCACGAAGTGCATCATGACGACTGTACGTGAATGTATCTGATGAAAGCCATCCAAAGTTGTTAACACGTTGGCTGTCCATGGTGATCATCGGTGACACGCATCGCTAAATTTCTTAGAAATTTCTTAGAATAATTAAAATAAAGTAAATTTCATGGATTAACAAATTTTAAATATTGCGAATGGCATTGGATAACATCGTCAACAAATAAAAGCGCGTAAATATCGCATGATATTTTGTAAAAAATAATTGGTATGGTATAGCATATTTCAATTGGGTAAATTGGGCAAATGTCCAGGTCAAAATATAGAAAATTTGTGTAGTAATGAACATGTTAAAAGTAATGGGGAACATGTAGAGTGTCTGAAAAGGAAACCTACATTTGGATCGAACATTTTTTCGCTTTCGTCCACGAGAGAGAAGTAGTTCTTCCTTGAAAACGAAATCCTTGAGTTGAAATTCTGGAAAGCATGCGCCACAGAGGTTAGAGACTGAAAAGCGGTTTGGGAGGCAGGGGGAGAAAGAAATAGAGAAGGATGGTGAAACGCGACATTACCGATGTTACAACGTTTAAACGTTTAAACGTTTGCCTTCAAGCCGAGGCCTCGTCCCCTTTTCGAAACTTCCGAAAAGATGCTTTTATGTGACGGATCGTCAGGCGAAAGACGCGTTTTCTTTGATGGCTCGAAAGAAAATATCGCCGGCAGCGCCAACTACGAACCGAAAGACGTCCACGATTTATTATTGATACTGTGATTCTGAATGAGTTACGCCTCGATTACGCGCCCCATCCCTCTTCGACACGTGAATCGAATCTTTTTTTTTTTTTTCTTTCAATACATATAGTTAGGTTACGTTCTTTTCTTTCACATTTCCACTAGTTTCGTTTATAAATCATTAAATTATGAGTGAAAGAATATTGTTAGTAATCTTAATCTATACAGTTGCTAGTTTTTTCTAAATCCTCGAATTGTAAGAATAGTGGAAGAGTATTATCAATAATATTAGGTTACATAATGTGTATAGTAATTATGTATATAAATATATATATATAAATAATGTATAATTACTAATATAATAATATAAAAAATGGAATCGAATTTAAGACAAGTAAAAGAAACAGCAAGTTAAAGTTGACAAATGGAGATTTCTTTACTTAAATGAACACATTAGCGAGAACGTCGAGCGATTAAAGAATCTCTCTTCGAGTAAAAAACAGCAGATGTCTCGCGTATGTATTAAAGGCTCTGCCAACACCAACAAGTGGTAAGAAATAGTCCAGTTTTAAATCTTTTTATATATAAAAAAATATGGATTTTTTAGAGCACGGTTCAAAACATGGATTGATATTTTCTATAATACACGACAGGTCGTTTTATTGTCACTTAATTGTGTGACTACTATACTTCGTTATAACAATACGTATGTTAATTGCTTGAAATTTTCCATCATATTAGAAACAACAAAAATTTAATATAAATAATACAATAGTGTGGAACAATTCTAATTTACTTATTTATAATAGTAAATTAGCATTGTTTAATCTTATAACAACAAACTACCATGTGCTGTAGAATAATAAGGAGAACACATTATCTCGAAAATAAATATATTTTCAACAACGCGTGATACGTATGTATGTACTGTTGAATAATTAATTATATCGCGTTACAGGTTAAGTAATTAATCTGGCAACTTACATCATCGACATTTGGCTTCGCTTTATTGTTACGTCCTACGTACGAAATTGCATATTTTTACGATTATGTGTCGAATATTTGAACTTTATCGAATAGCGATAACCGGGCAAAATTGGCTGAAAAATGGGTGGTGCATTGGTACGCGTCGATACGTGTTGCCGTTCTAACGTGGCTAATTGCAAACGACGTTATCAACCTAGAGTTCGTTTGCATGCTCGATAACTTTTCAGCGCGATGAGTAATTTGTTTGTTGCGTTGGTAAATCTGACGATGCGTTTTAAAGCCTATTTCTGCCTATTTCAATTTTTCTAAATACGCATATCGTAATCATAACGTCTTTTACCAAATTTTCTATACTATTTCTATATTTCTTCGTGAAATTATTCGAAATTATTCGAAATTATTCGAAATTATTCGAAATCATTGCAGCCGATACGAATTCGTAATATACTCGTTTTGAGATGTATTTCAATTTCGTAGAAAAGTAATATCTTTCGAACCTTATCTTATTACCTTATGCTTATTACCAAGCAAACACCGCTATATCATAGTCGTAGTAAAATACAAGTAATTCTACAAGTTATAGCGAGTTATTGTTCGTAATTAATTATTATCGAACATTAAACTTTATTCCATGGAAAAATATACCTACTGTAACCTTTATACCATATGGATATATCGTCACCTCGATATCTCCGGGACTAAACCGAAGTAACGGCCGTAGTGACGATTGCGGTTCGTTTTCTGCAATGAGATATCACGGTTCTTCGAACTTCAAAGTCTCCAAGTAGGCTCTCAACTCCGAAAGCTCGTAGCCAGACAGTAAATGCCTTATCGTTAAACGCGTGAAACACGTTCCCTGACCGGCCAGAAATAATCGTTTGAATAGCTCGATTAACACCCCTTGCCTTACATATAACAGAGCTGTCCAAGCTTTACTTACCCCTCCTACTCTTCTATATCATCTTCTGTTTTAAGGTCGAGATAGAAGAAGAGGCAATAGTATACCCCATAGTACGAGGATATTTCAGGCAAGGTGATACAGACGACAATATCTTCGACTCATTCGCTAGATACTACATATATACCGAAATATAGTTTAAAGTACGTTGCTAAAATAAAATAAATAAAAGAATATATTAATTCTATTTAAGTATTTCGTTGGATTCATTTTTAATTAACTTGTAGCAAAAGACATTTCAAATTCTCGATATAATTAACAAGTCTAATCGATAAGAAAATACAATTTGATCGAATGGTCATCGAGTATATGAAGGTAATTAGTTTTCGCACATACTTTACCGAAGTTGAATTTGAATGTCGCTTTTTCCCCTCGGTCTTCTCCCGGTCTTTTCATGGGATTGCAGTTTGAACATAGTCAGTTAATTACGATTCATCTTGAAATCCGTTTCGTTCGTTTAATTATTTGATTAAATTAGTCGGAGGTGAATTAAACAATTCTTAACTGAAAATTATTCGCGAAAGGTGTCTGCTTGTCTGACTGTTCTACGCTTTCGTAGAACAGGAAACTTGCAAATTCAGAGATCGCTCTTTTATACTTGAGAAACGGTTCTGTGAAATAATAATTCGCGAATTTGCTATAGAAATTATTTGTACTATAAATTACGAAATATATGATTGAATCGTAATTGATAATAAATAAGATTGAACAAGTAGCTATATACGTTCATTTAATTCGTGAACACACATTTTTTATCTAATAAACTGGAGCCAGTTTTGAGATCTCGATTCAGATATTATGTTTTCGAAAGAATAAATATAAAGTTGCGCGAAAAGCGATTATGAAATGAAATCCCAAGTTAGGTATAAAATAGAATTTATGACTTAAGATTTAAATAAAAATTCTTGGAGGGAAAAAAGATCCGCTGCAAGAAGAACCCGGTTCTATATTCCTTAAAATAAACCTATAATGACATTCTGAGGCATAAAGGATTCACGATAAGATGGAAGTTAAGGTAGTGACCCGAAATCTATGTATGACCTGGCGTGTATAGGTTAGATGCAGCGAAACGATTCGATCGATTGCCAGGGTACATTAGCTCCCATTATCCTGTTAATATTTCAGCGAGAAAAACCGCAAATTGAATCTGTTCTTTTCCTTACATTGTTGTTTACCTCTTTCGTCGAGTTATCATTTCGTCCGAATCGGAACAGCTTAACGGTGACGAGGGTAAAAAGAAACGATCTTAAGGTTACCTAACTCTGGTTGGTTCTATGCGAACTGATAACGTATTAATTAAAAAGAATAGTTATCGTTATTACAACGCGTAATATTTTATATATTATGTGACATTTTCGCGAACATACGAACCTTACTTTCGGTTCACTATGTTTGCAAGCTTATGGCACGAGATAGGTAAATAGGAAAATGACATACGGTTGTGCAAATTTGTAGCGGATAACTGCATACAAAGCGTTCGCTTCATCTAGAATATATCTCTGGAATATATCTCTGTCGACGATTTTAAAACATTTGTTTCGTCAGATGCTATTACGAATGAAAATTTGACAAAATATTTACAATGCAAAAAGTATGCGGAAGATATTTTGATCGATTCGATCGATTCGATCGATTCGTACGTAGATAAATTATATGACAAAATAGGACACATGCGAGGAATAATATGAAACAGTAGCTGTTTACGTATTGGTTTATGCAAATTCAGATTTTTACCATTACGAACAACAACCGATTATAATAAAAATCAAGATCATACAAGATTATAATAAAGGAGATAGAATGCAAATAAATATTCGCATTAGTTTATATAATGCGTTATTTCGTATATATTAACATAATTTTGCATATCATTTACATTTTTGCATTTTTGCATCATTTACATTTTGTCTATCGAAATTTTTGCAAATTTTTAGCAAATAGCAAGATATTCATACGAGCAAAAAATATAAAGCTACAATAATAGAGGGTTATCTGTGCTTTCAATGCTCTTAAAAATACGTGGTATCAAGCGTAACTGTTTTATTAGTGGAGTGTAGAGTCGCGAACCAGAAGCTTCCTCGTTTGATAACAAGAGATACATGGTAGTAAGCCGAAGCAAACAAAATGGGAAAATTAAATGTCTACGAAAACTTGATTCATTCCTTTATATATACATGTACGATTATAAATATAAGTTTAATCGCAATAGAAGAAAATTTTCTTATTCTTTAAGATAAATCTTACGGTAAACACGGTGTAATCGAACACTGACTATCGTATTATAGTTCAATTTTCCTATTTAGAGAAGAGAAATAAACTGAAGTGAAAAAGAATATATATAAATAAAACTGCAAATTTCCATTATTAGAATGCTAGTGCTCGCGAGAGGATTAAACTGTCTTCTACACAAAAATTGATATTTTCCAAGCTAACAAACTTGTATCACCAGCAAACGCTATTACATCGTACTTAAACTTTTCTCTTTTACAATTTAATATAACACAGAGTACAAAAATATAAATGAAACTTTGAATTCTCGTTGTTACAGAGCTAGATCTCGCGAGAGCGTAACCTCGTCCCAGGGTGGCGGGCTCCGTCAGCAGGAGGCGGCGAGCGTCGCGGAGCATCAGCTAGTGTGGAAGAGGCGAGATAGATAGATAGATAGATAGATAGATAGATAGATAGATAGATAGATAGATAGATAGATAGATAGATAGATAGATAGATAGATAGATAGATAGATAGATAGATAGATAGATAGATAGATAGATAGATAGATAGATAGATAGATAGATAGATAGATAGATAGATAGATAGATAGATAGATAGATAGATAGATAGATAGATAGATAGATAGATAGATAGATAGATAGATAGATAGATAGATAGATAGATAGATAGATAGATAGATAGATAGATAGATAGATAGATAGATAGATAGATAGATAGATAGATAGATAGATAGATAGATAGATAGATAGATAGATAGATAGATAGATAGATAGATAGATAGATAGATAGATAGATAGATAGATAGATAGATAGATAGATAGATAGATAGATAGATAGATAGATAGATAGATAGATAGA